CTCAAACTCAGATACTTGTTGCAGAGAGTGGGGAGGATTTGGCCCTCAGGTAGTTTTTTTTGTTTGTTTTTAAGAGAGATCACAGAACATTTGAACTTCAGCTGGACTTTGTTTTGCTTAAATCAAACATGCAATAAAGTATTGACATCTTTGTAGGAAAAAACGTCTGGTTCAGACAACAGGAAGCCAGTTGCTACCATAGACCTGATTATAATATATATATATTTAAATCCATCCTGGATTTTAAATGTTTACATTTTAAAGCAAAAACTGACAAAAAGATTAGGGATTCTGAAAGTGGTGCATTGTATTCTTTTCTGTCTCAGTCATTTTGGCAATTTCCACTCCAGTGCCTCTAATCTTTAGGCATCCGTTTTTGTACCTCTTATTCACACTATGTGCTTTTTACTCTATTGAAATCAATGAGACTACTCGTGTGGGGAAGTGTGGATCATTGTGAGTGTGGGTAACAGAACTGGAACTCTAGAGAAGGCAAACAGCTTCTATCCTGCCAAGATTTCACAGGAGTGGCTTTGCTGGCTGGAGTTGTGCTCTTGGAACGCTGTACAAGGGACAAATTTGGCTTCTGTGGGATATGTCCCCAAACTGCTGCATTATTATATGTGTTTGGGGGGGATAGTGGGTCTCCATCAGCAGCCTTGCAATGAATGTTATGTACTAGAACTCTAGAGGAAAAAAATAAGTGTGAAAAAGAAAAAAGTTTTTTTAAAAAATATTAGTAACACTGATTTGGCTTTACAAAAAAAGTGGGGAGGGAATTTTCATTTTTTAAAAAAAAAGTGTTAATAATGAAGTGCATTCTGACCCTCCTGATTTTTAAATTAGCAAATCTTTCAGTGCAAGGTTTCCTGCACACAACTAATTTGGAAGACTTATACATGGAACAAAAAGATAGAATCCCATGAAACATTCATTTTCAGGTCAATACTTGTCAAATTTTGGGCATATCCCAAAACTCTGACTGGATTTTAAATGTGTGTTGTTGTTTTCTTAATTTGAAGTTTGGATTCTGTGTGTGTGTGTGTGTGTGTGTGTTTATCCCTTCTTTGAACTAGCACAATAATCAATAGCGGAGTGTTTTGAGCTGTTACTGAAAGTCATTTTGAAAACATGTTAAAAGCAGCTACTCTGTCAGAATGCATGAAATTAGTTATTAAAAATAAGAGTAAGTATGTGAATGGGAGGAAACTTAACAATAAATTAATGAGATGTTTGCAAACACAGGTTAATTAAGCTTGGCTTTCTCTCTACATAAACCACCATTTATGTTACAAATATATAACTGGTTCCAATACGTTGGAGATGCTTTATTACTATTTGTAAGCTCATTTGTTATCCTTAGCATGCTTATTAACTTCCAAAGCAGGAAGGCTGGTTTTATGGTTAAGATATAATGTATGCTGTATAAGTACCTTATTTTGCCCAGCTTCCTGTGACCTCAGGCTGGTCACTGGATATCTGTGTTTTGGGGATAATTCTGTTAGATTTAGTGGGGAGGGTATAGATTGTCTCTTCTCATGTTTTCAAAGAGCCTAGGGCAAAGGGGAATGTGATCTAGGCATCACTGTAGTAATACTCAAGTGGCCACATGAACATCATTATTATTATATTGATTTGGGCTGTCAAATGATTAAAAATAATTGCAATTAATCACAAGATTTTAAAAAATATTAATCACAGTTTTAATCACCCTGCTAGAAAATAATAGAATACCAATTTAAATTTATTATAAATATTTTAGATGTTTTTCTACATTTTCAAAAATATTGATTTCAATTATAACACAGAATACAAAGTGTGCAGTGCTCATGTTATATTTTTATTTTTGATTACAAATATTTGCACTGTAAAAAAGATAAAAGAAATAGTGTTTTTCAATTCCTGTCATACAAGTACTGTAGTGCAATCTCTTTATCGTGAAAGTGCAATTTACAAATGTAGAATTCCTATTTTTTACATAACTGCACTCAAAAACAAAATAATGCAAAATTTTAATGCCTGCAAGTCATACCATGACGGGGCATATGAATGGTAAGCATATCTTGCATAAGAATATCTTGCAACCTCGGCTACAACACTGCTATGTGAATGCCTGTTCTTGTTTTCAGGTGACATTGTAAATGAAAGGCAGGCAGCATTATCTCCCTTAATTGTAAAGAAGGTTGTTTACCTTAGTGATTGGCTACGCAAGAAGTAGGACTGAGTGGATTTTGTTATACCAATAAAATAAAACCCAACAGGATCTTTTAAAGGGGGATAAGACAAAATGCCGCATTTATTGTGAATACAAAAGAGACACAGTAAACAAGTAATCATAAACATTCTATCCCATGCACTCACACAAAATACCAAAAGAGGCAAAGCAAGTAAACAGTCATATTTACTACCTCCCATTCATTCCCACACACATACATATACACATACAAGTTCTGCAAAGTTGTTATAGTTATGAGCCTAGAGGTTGCTCATGCCAAGTTACTGGCCAGGTAACCTGGGCATGAGGGTGGAGCTGAGTCTTTGTCAGATGCGCATCCGATGCTCCTGGAGGGTGGTCGCAGAACCAGACTCAAAATTCTTAGTCTTTTGGGTCTGTTTTTATAGGAGTTTTATTCCTATGCCAGTCTATGGAGGTGACTTTATCATGCTGTTGCTGAATCAATCAGCAGATGGCACATCCCTGACGGCTCCGTGCTGCCAGATGTTATCTTGTTCTTCAGTTCTCCCATCCTTGAGGCTGTTGGGTGGATTCCAGTCTGCCCTCCGGGGATCATCCGGTTATCTCCACTTAGTGCATTCTTCGGCCAATCGATACTGAAGTGGTAACTCTTAGGCTGGCACTCCTAGCCATTCATCTTCTATTTACACACACCATCCATTCACATGCATTCTCAACCTTTATTTCAACATATATCTCTTCTGACTTCAACAACTCTTAGGGTGTAACGAAACTGCTTAACCCCCTTACCACGGAACATACATAACTAGCAAGATAAAGAGCTCGAGAAGGGTGGGAGTCTCTGTGTGCTGTTCCGAGGAACAGTTGTTTTTGCAAAATCTTATCTCTTCTGAGAACAGACTCTCTGTCCCAGAATGTGCTGAGCAGTTTGGCCTTCTAATTAACATTACTTTGGGACCTTTAAACTATATAAAATTAAAAATCATACAGAAATCCTTTGGTATAGTAACAATTCGTAAGTGCAAAAGTTAATCTAGGAAATTTATTTTGCATTAATCACTTCAGTTAACTCTGATTAATTGACAACCATAATAGTTATTCATTCATTTAGATTTAAATGCAAAAATCTGCCAGTCTACCACCTGCCTCTTCCTCACAGCTAAGGGTATGTGGTTTTCAAGGCCTCTTGGAGAACAGGTTGCCTATTGAATTTTTGTGGGAGCTGGGAACCTAACTCCCATAGGCACCTTTGAAAAATCTCATCCTCAATTCAGTTTGTGAGGAATAGCCACACAGCAGTACAACAACACTAACACTGTAAAGTAAATGAGCCTAATGTACATAAGCCTAATGCCTATAATTTAAAGCAGCAACATATAGACTGTCCCATCATCACAGCTGTACTCATAGCCCTAGCTAATAGATCATCTAAGGCTTAGATGCAGTATGCTAGGAAAGTCAACACTTTGGGGCTTCTTTGAATCAACTTTGCTCCAGAGAAACTTACAAAGGAGCCTCACAGAGAGTGTCCTAGTGGCACTTCTCCTGTCCTCTTCCTTTTTGCCCCTCCATGAATTCTTGTCTCCCTCTGGTTGTTCTCATCTCAATCAGATTTTAAGCTCTTTGGAGTATCTTTACTTGTTCCACATAGAACTCATTGATGATGCTATATAAATAATAATGATAATTATAATAAATGGTAAATAATCATTACTTTCCTTCATCTTCAGTGTAGTGTGATAACATGACTCACTAATTATGAATCTTTTTTTTTTTTTTTTACTATTCATGCAGATATAGAAGTTTTGGCATAAATACCTAGTTTCAGGGCATTTTAGCACTATTTTTGTGCAGCTTGTAGTTAGATTTAATATTGGTGAATGACACTAAAGCAACCTCTGAGAGCAGCAAGAAAAGTGGGAGGAATGGGAATTTAGTTTAAATAAATATTTACAAGTGAGTTCTGACCTAATTTTAAGGTGTGTTTTTTTTAAAAATTTCTGTTTAATAAAATGTATGGGACTCATCCTGCATTCCTTGTGCAATCAAAATTCCCACTGAATTCATGGGAAATGTTGGATGCATAAGAAAAGAAGGATAAGATTCTATATAGACAAAACACTTTAAATCTTAGATGCTTAAAGATTGACATATAAATTAGAGCCTGATTTACATAGGGGAGCAACCACAAATTCCATTGACTCCAATATTCAGTATTTCTGAAAATTCAGACCCCTACGTTTAGGTCTTTAAATATGGAGTTGGGTGTCAAATTTTAGGCATCCAGATTTATAAAAATGGCCTAAATAATTCACCCAAGATCATAAAAAGAGCTACGGAGCTGGGAATAAAAGAAGCTGTTTTGACTCCCAGTTCTCTGCTTTAGCCACTAGAATTTCACTGACAATTGACTTTGACCCACCATAAAGGATAAATACTACTATGCAACATAATAAGTTGGATGAGGGCTTTGGGTTAGAGCCACAAAGTGATTTAAGAAGCTAACTACCACTTTAAGTCTGAAATGTAGCTCCACAAAACCCCTGCCACTTAACCTTGTAAGCATCTAAAGTCCCCTAGGCCCTTTTATTTCTGCTGGTGGGCATGCACAAAGCCACCTAAGTCCTGTTGCTGCTGAGCTGCTCAGTAGCTAAGCCCTGAGGGGATTCTCAGGCCTGGTCTACACTACGAGTTCATGTCGAATTTAGCAGCGTTAAATTGAATTAACCCTGCACCCGTCCACACAACGAAGCCATTTTTTTCGACATAAAGGGCCCTTAATACCGATTTCTGTACTTCCCGACGAGGGGATTAGCGCTGAAATCGACATTGCAGTTTCGAATTAGGGTTAGTGTAGACGCAATTCAGCGGTATTGGCCTCCGGGAGCTATCCCACAGTGCACCATTGGGACCACTCTGGACAGCACTCTGAACTCGGATGCACTAGCCAGGTGTACATAAAAAGCCCCCAGGAACTTTTGAATCTCATTTCCTGTTTGGCCAGGCGAGTTCATCAGCACAGGTGACCATGCAGTCCCAGAATCGAAAAAGAGCTCCAGCATAGACCGATCGCTGTATGGGGAGACGAATCTGTGCTATCAGAACTACGTTCCAAAAAATGAAATGCCACATTTCAAAAAATCTCCGAGGCCATGAGGGACAGAGGCGACAGCAGGGACACAACACAGTACCGCGTGAAACTTAAGGAGCTCAGACAAGCGTACCAGAAAACCAAAGAATCAAACGAACACTCTGGGACAGAGCCCCAGACATGCTACTTCTACCCGGAGCTGCATGCAATTCTAGGGGGGGCCGCCACCACTACCCCACCCCTGTCCATGGACTCCGATGATGGGGTACTCTCTGCCATGCCTGAGGATTTTGCAGACGGGGAAGATGAGGAGGAGGAGGAGGACAAGCTTGAGGAGAGCACACAGCACACTGTTCTCCCCGACAGCCTGGATCTTTTTGTCACCCTGACTGAAATACCCTCCCAACCCAACCAAGCTGGAGAAGGAACCTCTGGTCAGTGAACCTTTTAAAATATAATACATGTTTTAAAAGCAAGCATTTTTCATGATTAATTTTCCTTGAGGACTTGGGATGCATTCGTGGCCAGTACAGCTACTGGAAAAGTCTGCTAACGTGTCTGGGGATGGAGCAGAAATCCTCCAGGGACATCTCCATGATGTTCTCCTGGAGGTACTCTAAAAGCCTTTGCAGAAGGTTTCTGGGGATAGCAGTCTTATTCCATCCTCCTTTATAGGACACTTGACCATGCCATGCTATAGCAAGTAATCTGGTATCATTGCATGACAAAGCCTGGCAGTGTATGGTCCCGGTGTTTCCTGGCATTCAAGCAACATCCATTCTTTATCTCTCTGTGTTATCCTCAGGAGAGTGATATCATTCATGGTAACCTGGTTGAAATACAGGAATTTAATTAAGGGGACATTCAGAGGTGCCCGTTCCTATTGGGATGTTTGCCTGTGGCTAGAAAGAAATCCTCCCTGCAGTTAGCCACGTGGGGGGGGGGGCATTGACGCTGAACTGTTCACGTTTGGCTAGCAGAGATCTTCCCTGATACCAGCCACGCAGTGTGGGGAGGGGTAAAGTGATCACCCCAGAGAAGGTGGAGGAGGTTAGTTTGGTTTCTGCTGCTGCATGTTAACACGAAAACGGCAGCACTAAATGGCCAACTCAACGGGTTTTGCTTGGTATGGGAAAGGAAGGCGCCGCTGTTATGAAGGTTGCAGAAGCTGAAAGACTATGGCTTACCATGGTTGCCTGCAAGCCGAATTCTGTTGCCTGGCACTGCCTGTGGGATCTCTAACACCAAAGCCGCAGGCACTCAATATAAGATGCAAAATGCAACCTTGTACCAAAATCACATGTGCTATGTAATGTGAATAGTGTTGTTCACCGTGAAAGAGTATATCCATTGTTCTGTAAAATGCATCATTTTAAATACTTCACTCCCTTTTTTTCCTCCCACAGCTGCAAATGTTTCAAGCCTCCCTCCTCCATCCCAAAGGCTATCTCATATAAGGCGGAGGAAAAAACGCACACACGATGAAATGTTCTCTGAGCTCATGCAGTCGTCCGGCACTGACAGAGCTCAGCAGAATGTGTGGAGAGACACAGTAGCACAGTACAGGAAAGCATCCAATGAACATGAGGACAGGAGGGACGATCGAGATGAGAGGTGGTGGCAGGGAGATCAGAGAAGGCAGGATGCAACACTGGGGCTACTGCGGGATCAAACAGACATGCTCTGGCATCTGGTGGAGGTTCAGAAACAACAGCAGGATCACAGACTGCTGCTGTAGCCCCTGTTTAACTGACCTCCCTCCTCCCCAAGTTCCGTAGCCTCCTTACCCAGATGCCCAAGAACGCGGACGCTGGGGGATGCTCCGGGCACCCAATCACTCCACCCCAGTGGACAGCCCAAGCAACAGAAGGCTGTCATTCAACAACTTTTGAAGTGGCCTTTTCCTTCCCTCCTACTCTCCTCCCACACCCCAGCTGGGCTACCTTGTGAGTTATCTCCCTATTTTTATAATCAATTAATAAAGAATACATGGTTTTTAAACAATAGTGACTTTATTTCCTTTGCAAGCAAGCTGTAATTGAAGGGGGAAGGGCAGGTGGCTTACAGGGAATTAGAGTCAACCAAGGGGACGGGTTTTCATCAAGGAGAAACAACAGAAGTGTCACACGGTACCCTGGCCAGTCATGAAACTGGTTTTCAAAGCTTCTCTGATACGCAGCACTTCCTGCTGTGCTCTTCTAATCGCCCTGGTGTCTGGCTGCGCATATTCAGCTGCCAGGTGATTTGCCTCAACCTCCCATTCCACCATAAACATCTCCCCCTTACTCTCACAGAGATTGTGGAGCGCACAGCAAGCAGCAATAACAATGGGAATATTGGTTTCACTGAGGTCTGAGAGAGTCAGTAAACTGCACCAGCAACCCTTTAAACTTCCAAATGCACACACTACCACCATTCTTCACTTGCTCAGCCTATAGTTGAACAGCTTCTTACTAATGTCCAGGGTGCCTATGTACAGCTTCATGAGCCATGGAATTAAGGGGTAGGCTGGGTCCCCAAGGATAACTATAGGCATTTCAACATCCCCAACAGTTAGTTTCTGGTCTGGGAAGTAAATCCCTTCCTGCAGCCATTTAAACAGACCAGAGTTCCTGAAGACGCGAGCATCATGAACCTTTCACGGCCGTCCCACATTGATGTTGGTGAAACGTCCCTTGTGATCCACCAGTACTTGCAGCACCATTGCAAAGTACCCCTTGCAGTTTATGTACTGACTGCCCTGGTGGTCCGGTCCCAAGATAGAGATATGAATCCCGTCTATAGCCCCCCCACAGTTAGGGAATGCCATTGCAGCAAAGCCAGCTACTATGACCTGCACATTTCCCAGAGTTACTACCTTTGATAGCAGCAGCTCAATGATTGTGTTGGCTACTTGCATCACAGCAACCCCCACAGTAGATTTGCCCACTCCAAATTGATTCCCGACTGACTGGTAGCTGTCTGTCATTGCAGGGCTATTGCCACTCGCTTGTGAACTGTGAGGCCTGCTTTCATCTTGGTATTCTTGCACTTCAGGACAGGGGAAAGCAAGTCACAAAGTTCCATGAAAGTGCCCATACGCATGCAAAAGTTTTGGAGCCACTGGGAATCATCGCAAACCTGCAACACTATGCGGTTCCACCAGTCTGTGCTTGTTTCCCAGGCCCAGAATCAGCATTCCTTGGCGTGAACCTGCCCCATTAACACCATGATCTCCAAATTGCCAGGGACTGCGGTTTTAGAGAAATCTGTGTCCATGTCCTCATCGCTCTCGTCACCGCGCTGCCATCACCTCGTCGCCTGATTTTTCAGGTTCTGGTTCTGCATAAACTGTACCATAATGTGCGAGGTTTTTACAATGGTCATAAATGCTGCGGTGAGCTGAACGGGCTCCATGCTTGCCATGCTATGGCGTCTGCTCAGGCAACCCGGGAAAAGGGTGTGAAATGATTGTCTGCCGTTGCTTTCATGGAGGGAGGGTTGACTGACAACATTTACCCATAACCACCCGTGACAAATATTTGGCCCCCTCAGGCATTGGGAGCTCATCCGAGAATTCCGATGGGCAGCGGGGACTGCGGGAACTGTGGGATAGCTATCCACCGCTCGCAATTTCAATGCTTGCCATGGTACTGTGGACGCACACCGCCGAATTAATGTGCTTAGTGTGGACACATGCACTAGACTTTATACAATCTGTTCCCAAAAATCCACTTCTGTAAAATCAGAGTAATTTCATAGTGTAGACATACCCTCATCAGACTCTGTGTTCCTCTGCAGGGCCCAATCTAGTATGCATTCTCAGAGCACACTTAATCAAAACAAAATACGGCCAAGGAGGTGGTAGCGGTGTCCCCCTGTATACAAAATAGCCTGAGTGGTTAAAGCACTCAGGGCAATGTGGGAGATACAGTGTAAAATACCCAGCAAACCTGATTTTAACTAGAACATAAGTATCCCACCTACCTGGAGAGGGGCTGTTTGCCCTAACCACTGAGCTATAGGAGATTATGAGATGGGGTCTCTCTCAAGTTGAAGCTGTTCTATTTTGCGTGAGCTACATAAAAATTAATGGGCCCAAAAGTAAATTAGAATGACTCTATAGCCCACTGGTTAACACAGACTTCTGAGAAAGCCTTGAGAAAGGTTCATGTCCCTTCTCCAATTAATATTTAAGTGTGGGTTTGAACCTGGGTCTTTCACAACCCAGCTAAGTGTTCTAAACAATGGGCTATTGGGTTTAAGGTCTCTGCCACCTCCTTATTTTTTTATTTTAGAGAGAGAGAGAGAAAGTGCTGACTTGGCTTGCTAGCTAAGTCCGGGAGAGGGATAACAGCTATGAATCCCAAGCAGAAATAGGCACCTCCCTCCAGTCTGAAGTTACACACCTAAATCCCTTTGTGGGGTGGGCCTAAACCCAGCCCTTCTCCTCAGCATTTCCTACTAGTTAGCTTAGGTGGCTCCCTCATTAACTTGTTGGCTTCTTTCAGTCCCATACATACATGTCTAACTGTTCCCTTGCATTGAATAGGGAGCCCAAGTGCCTAACTCAGGGCTCTGGATTCCAGTGGGTGGCAGTTTGCCATTGCAACATTGAACCTAAGTCCCCTTTATGGATTTTAACCCTTAGGTGTAAGTAATTATGTGTTACATTGGCTACTTACCATATAATGTGATATTTGACACTGTAGGTGTTTTGACAGTTTCTCAACATTTAATGTGTAATCAGAAACATCCACCCTAATGCATTTCTTCAGCTCTTAATCAGTCATATTGTCACAGGTCCCACCTACCACTAAGGCACCTCCTTCTGGTTGCTTAGGGATTAGCTCTTCACAGGTCCAAAGCCCCCTTCTCTTGATTCTTCTGCCTGGGGTCTCTCTCTTTCTCTGAGAGTCGGGGTGCTCCTTCATAACTAAGCCCTCTGACCAGGTCAGTATAGGGTTTCCCTTCCAGGGTATCAATGCTAGAGACTTTTTGTCCACTAATATCCACAATTCAACCTTCCAGCTTCCGGCTTTCAAGATGACATCAGTTTGCACAATTTCCCTTTCTAATGCATCACTATTCAAATATAACAGTTCATTCACCTTGACAGCCAGCTCTTGATGCTAATTGTCCTGCAAGGGGTGAAACAAACTTCACTGCGGCTCAACTTCTCTCAGTCTTTCATTTTTTTTTGAAGTGATCAGAGTATACATCTGCATGGAGCACTTCTGTATATTTGTCAGTTTATTTTTATTTTTTTTTTGTACTTCTCTGTGTTGTTTTCACGCTGTAAAGTACTGTACTGCCAAAGAGCTGAGATACTGTGATATTTTCTTTTTCATCTGCGTTATCCACAAACCCAACTTCACTTTCAATGATTCATCACACTTACCATGTGTGTAATATCCTTTTCTTTCCCCTTCAATTCTTGACTCACTTCATTCATCTTTTTTTCAGTAAGGTTGATCGGAATGCAAAGTCAAGCAACCACGCCTGTTAGAAAGCTCATCATATTTTTCATTTCTTGACCCCAAGAATATTCTGATCTGTGATAAAAGATCAAAACATCTTTTCGAAACTCTACTGTAGCTCAGCTACCTCATCTCATTGTGCAGAATCACATCTTCACAGGCTGCCTCAAGTTCATCAAATGGATTTTGATGCAGAAGGCCTCTGACTTGAGTGGAGTTAACATTTTTTACTGCTAATCCCTTAACATTTGTCAAGTCTGTCACTTTTATTCTGAGTGCTTATTGATGATGAGCAATGAAGCCTTGGATCCAAACATAGCTGGTGCTCCATCTGTTGTTATAGAAACCAGTTTTGCCATCGTTAATTTCCGTTTAATAACATACTTAATTATCTTCCTCTTGTTTCCTTCTTTAACGATAGTGTTATCAAAATGTCTTCATTTACAATGCTGATTTCAAATACCAGATTCACAAATATCACCATTTGAGCCATGTCAGTGACATTGATTTGTCAAAAATTCATGCTGATTCAATTCTTTTAAAACTGTGAACAAATATCTTCTGACAGTGTTTTTACTCCTCTACACATCATGTTTTCATCAGTTGCATGATATAAGTTTGACACATAATTTCTTTCTTTTGGAACTTTTTCAATGAGTTGCTTCCATAACTTCTTCTTTCACAATCACACTGTTCACAAAAGTCTTCCTTTGTCATGCAAGCACATTCACAAACTGAAAAGATGTTTCATTGGTGTACTTTTTAATTGTATAAATATGATTTACTCAGTTATCAAAGAAAATGTATATTATTCATCTGAAGATTGTTATTTTTAGGAGATTCCTTCTCACGTTTCAGGGGACAGGGGTTGTGCATTTGGTGACATTGATGTGGCATAGGAGATGTGCATACTTGTCTCTAACTATGGTGAACAAAAAGGCACGTTCTCATTTTTTTCATCCAAATGGTAACTTTCTGGGTATTTTTTTTCCCAAAGGTAGAGCTAAGTTATTTGTAATTATGTTTGGTTTGGTTAACCCCAATCTAACATTCTCCACCACTTCAGTCTTGGTACCCTTCCCCAACTCATTCCAGGGGTGCAGATAGGGGAGTCTCTCTCTGCTACTGAATAATCTTCTCCCATTCTTTGATGAGTAAAATGAGGAATGGTAGATAGCTGAGAAAAGGGTTAGAGCTTCTTTACTCTCTTCTGTCTCCATAGTTTTTCCTCTCTTTGCCCCTGTACATTGAGTCTATGGCCATTCTTATGTAGAATAGCAGTAGCTGGAAAATTTCATCACTTAAACCCAAAGAGCTGCCTATTCCCTCCTCCCTCTCCCCCCCCCCCCCCCGATTTGGCTTCCCTTTCACCCATCACCACATCTTGCTACACAGAATCCTTAGGTGCTGCAGGAAAGACTCACTCTATGTGCAGCACCACCTGATGCGAAGGGGAAGCTGCTGATGACACGCTTTACAAAGTCTCATGATCTACTG